TTGCTTTGTTCTATTATATTCACTTTACATACAAAATATATGTATTCAAAGGCCATTCTCGTTAATTGACTTATCTAAATCCGGTTATTGACTAACGTGAATTAAGTCGATAATTGTATACGAGGATAGGTGATAACAAACATTCTTACAATCTAAATGGAGTCAGATCCACGGGCCACTAAAAACACTTGAATTTAGTGAAAGAACAAACTCCATCTTTTATTCCATTACGTGTCTATAAACTTCCATGTATGTGTTCTGTTTTTATCCCTTTGAATATGCACAGTTGAAAAAAAGGATGGAACTTTCTTCATACAAAAATTACATACATATGGCATTTCACAGCAGCATACCTTCTTGCTACTGGTCAATGCCGGGTGAAGTTCCATATGCAAATGTAAAACAAACAGGTAGAAACACACGAAATTTTGAAAAACGTTTCTCATCTCAACTGATAATATTGAAAATGTTATTCTACTGATCACCAATATTTGGAAAGAAATAAAAAACAATAAAAATAGAAACAAATAGATTTCACAATACAAACAATTATTTAGTAAATAAAACAAGTCTACATAGACAAGCTATGAGGAAGATTTATAATAATAATAATAATAAACGATAATAGTAATACAATATTTGTAATGGGTGGAGTTCAGTTGATTTATCATTAACTTATTTATTGAGCATGTCTCGTCTTGGAATTTCTTTGTCTGTTGTCTATACAATAATTAGTGGATTGATCGGTTTACCGATTGATATGTACTTGGAGGTTGAGGGAAGACAGAAGTACTAATAATAACAATCATAGGTATTTTACAGTGACGTGTAAACGAGGTGAATGTCTGAGAAAGTGAACGAAAGAGAGGAAGGAAGGGTTATTTCAAAAATCAAAGAATCTTTTGCGTCTTTGTATCTGTGTGTGTGTGTGAGAGAGAGAGAGAGAGAGAAATAGAAATTGGAAGACAGAACTACGAGTGCATGATGGACAACATATAAACAGTTTTCACAACCATGATGAATTTCCAGCAAACACGTTCACTGTGTTGTTTACATTTTTGTGAGAGAAATACAAGGCGGTTGAAAGGAATACCTCAGTAATAGTAATAATAATAATAATAATAATAGTGATATTGTATCAGGAAATTCTATTCTGTTGTAAATAATTCATTAAATCCATATAATCTCGATGTATCCCATAAGGATGTAGATGATACAGCATATATTCATAGAGATACATCTCTTCAGGTCTAATATAATGAAATGAGACAGCATAATCACTGCAACAATCGAATCCCTGATTTCAATCAAATGGGGAGAATAAAAGTCAATGTAATGATGATGACGATAATAATAACAATAATATAACAATAATGTGGGGAGATACAGTTACAATTTCAGGTCAGTAAAGTCTGTTGAGTAACTGCACACTGAATAATAAATAGGTCAACAGAACATGATTATGCGACAATAATCTTACAATCACGAGCAACCCTCTCTAAACATTTCTACGCTACATGTGCACCTCTCATCTAGTATATGCTTGATTGTGATAGCGTTACAACAAACACAGTTAGCATTGAGCTCCAAAAGCATGTCGCGATGTTTCCTTTTAAAACTGTTGTTTTTACTTCAGAGTTATATTATTAATGTGTTTAATTTACTCAACCCCCTTCCACAAGCACCACATAAATGTATCTTCTTTAACACTACTCATTTACGTAACTGTTAACTAATATTTGTGACGTGAAATTTCGTGTCAAACTTCAATGTCGCCATCTCAAACCTCAGTGAGTCAGTTATCAGACCATCTCTGTTACAAATTAGTGAGAGTGTAGGGAATTTTTCAAAAAGTGATCTTTAACGATATTACACTCATTATTCTCGACTTCTGTTATTTCTTCGTTTGGTTTCTGTTGTCACCACCAAACAGTACGTTACAATACGTTATCCATCTACTCGTCTACCTTCTGTGTTACATAATACTACTCAGATAAATCCATCTAAAATATATATATATATATATATCATGGGGACAACGTTGAAATTTGAATTATCATAATATCATTTTAGTATCTGAAGTATTCAGTAGCATTCATGACATAATGTGTGATAATGTTGTGTATGGTAGGGGAAGAAGAATAGTCATTGCTTTCAGAAACTAGTGTTTTGTCTGATTCTCACTCATTTGTATAGTTTAATATAGACTTGAGTGAGCATTGGAAATTATCCTGTACATAATTGATGCTGAAACTCTTGTTACGTTTTCGCCAACCATAACCCTTTCCGTGGATAGCATATTTAAGTGTAGATATGTTTATTAGTAAAACTCACTGTATCTATTCTGTGGTAATTGTACTTTAGGTACCATTCTGGGTAGCCGTTTGTGTCTTTTGTAAGCATATGTGATGGAGAGAACGGATGAAAGCATTCACGTCCTTCTGCATCTAGACTATCAATTACCGAAACATTTGTAGCTTCAGCACAAGATCCTGTAATCAATGGAGGGAAAAGAAGATGTATCGAATAAGATTAGCATTGAATTGTTTCTTTTATTGTTCTCGAATTTGCAGTATGTCAAAACACATAAAATGAAGTCAACGAATAATAGTCTTTCCAGTAAGTTCTAATCAGGTTCTACGCTTTTTGGGTGGTCCAGAAAACTCGTAAAAGCCAGGAAATGCTCAGGAAACACTAAGTAGCATTTCATCCAATCACTGTTCACTAGAAGTTCCTTCACGTCAATGCAGTCGAGAGAAACGTTTTACAAGGTACCAGCACGCAGAATTATCGTAATGACAGCAACAAACCATCATCCTCACACTGGTTATGTGGCGTTTGGCGTTCTAAAAGGTTTTGTCCTTCTAGAAATCATCGATGTACTATGTGTTCTAGAAAAGGGCACAAAATAAGTCATTGCAAAACCTGGAAACGCCGTTAACAGACAGTGTGTTCTAAAAGATTCAAGCCACGAACAGCTAAAGTAACGGTGGCTCTTCACAAAGCCAGCTCACATAATCGTAGGAAGTATGTTTGTCTCAAGATTAGTGGGTATGATGCCCGCTTACAGTTAGACACAGTCTCCGATATAACACTTATAAGCAGGAGAACGTGGGAGAAAAATATTGGGAGACCGCGAATATATTCAATTCATCAACCAGCACAAAGTGCATCCGGGGGAATTCTAAACATTTTTTGCGAGATTCATTGCGAAGTCACAGTCAAAGAGTTTACGGAGAAGAGAGTAATATCTTTGACAGAACGTCCACCACTCGACTTATTGGGGCTTGACTGGATAGAAATGTTGAAGTTTTAGAACCGTCCCATAAACTCAATCTGTAACAACGTCAGTACGTCGAAAGTTGAAGAGAAAAACTCAGTGGAAGCATTATTAAAACGATATAAAATGGTATTTAGTGATGGTCTTGAAGAATGCAGTAAATTTAAAGCTGCTCTTACCCTTCGAAATGAATCAAAACCAGTGTTTTGACCTAAGAGACCTGTACCATATGCTGCCTTCCCACTGGATGAACAAGAGCCACAACGACTTCAGAAATTCGGTGTCATTGAACAAGTGAATTTCTCAGAATATTGGTAGTAAAGAAAACTACTGGCAGCGTCTGTTTATATGGCGATTACTCAACTGGGCGAAATAAAGCCCTAGAAACTCATCAGTATCCCTTACCCCTACCTGAAGATCTTTTTGCTAAACTGAATGGAGGTAAGCTCTCTGCAAAGTTGGACTTATCAGAAGCTTATTTTCAAATTCCTTTTGCCAATGAGTGTAAAAATCTGCTCACCGAAAACACACACAAGGGTCTATTCCGGCATAATCGACTACCCTTCGGAGTCAAGACTTCCGCATCCATATTTCAGCAAGCAATGGATAATATGCTACAGGATGTTCCAGGTGTTGCAGCTCATCTGTATGATGTAATAATTATGAGAGTAGATAGAATAGACTTGGAAAAGAAGCTCGACCAGGTGCTGTCACGATTAGTCGAATATGGAATTTGACTCCGTGTGGAGAAATGTAACTATTGCATGCAAAATGTACGCCTCCCTGGATTTGTAATCGACAAAGATGACAAAAGACCAGATCCAGAGAATACCTAGGCAGTGAAAATTATGCCTGGACCGACGGGTGTCCTCACACTACGATTCTTTTTGGGACTAGTTAGTCATTATAGAACTTTTATTTCTAACCTTCATCACTTACGTGCCTCCTTAAATAACCTTCTGACGGAGAATGTAAAATGGGATCGGTCCGCAACTTGCCAAGCTGCTTTTGAGGAAGTCAAGAAAATACTATTCTCGGATCTGTTGCTCACCCATTACGATCCATCCTTACCCATCGTGGTAGCATCAGATGCTTCAAACTAAGGGATTGGAGCAATTATGTTTGGTGATAGAATCGTTATTCCAAAAAAACATTACACCACAAGGTTCTGAGACAATTCCGCTACAGTCATACCGGTATCAATAAGATGAAAGCGTTGGCTCGAAGCTATGCTTACTGGCCTACAATGGATGAAGATATCGATGCTGCAATTGTTCGTCGTGCCTGCAAACAGCTGAAAGTCCAAATAAATATGAACCACAACAATGGGAAAAACTTAAAAGTACTTGAGAGAGGCTGCACGCAGCTCTTGCCGGCCCAATACGAGGGAGAATTCTTCTAGTCATAGTGGACACACTCACAAAATAGCCACAAATCCGAACTGTTTAGCTACTTTGGAGTTCCGGAGACTTTAGTGACCGATAATGGCTCACAATCCACTGCAGAATCACTCAAGCACTTCTGCAACATTAATGGAATTGTGCATATGCGCTCTCCACTCTATCACCCTCAATCAAATGGACAGGTAGAGCACTTCGTGGACACATTTAAAAGAGCACTACTGAAAGGTAAGGGCAAAAGGTAGAAGTCAGGTAATTAAGAAATTCCTAGCACATTATAGAACTACGTCAAACCCCATTGTTCCAGATGGGAATTCCCCTGCTGAAGCAATGTTCGGGAGAAGAATCCGAACTATATTCAACGCCATGTTGCCACCTAAACCAATAGATGGACGCAGATAAAATCAGAATATCCGGAGTTTTAACGTGGGTGATATAGTGCTCGTCAAGTCATACATTGGGGAAAATCGTTGGCAACCGTGAGTCATTGAGAAGAGAATAGGAAATGTTTTATACAAAGTACTTGGGACTTTCAGAACGTGGATTAGACACATTGATCAAATATACAGAGAAAACAGAACACTAAACACGGTATATAGTCGAGTGAGTCTTCTGGGAGAGATAATTACAGATGCTCCAATGGCAAGAACCTCAACAGACACTCATAGACGCTGGATACTAAGAAAATCCGAACGTCGCAGAAAACCAGTTATCAAGCTGCAAGTAGACCAGATAAAAAGTATCATTTTTCGAAAAGAGGGGAGGCGTTGAGGAGATCCAGAAAATTCCTCGAAATTAAGCCAAGAAAGGCTCTAAAAACACTGAGAAGCATCATATCCAATCAGCGTTCACTAGACGTTTTGCCAGAAACATCTAGAACGTGAGACGCCACATGTCGAGTTTCTGATTGGATGATTACTCATACTGCTACTATGTTCGGTAGCATTCCAGAATTTTCCAGAAACCCAAGGATATCTAAAATAATATAAAAACACTGGATTTTCTGTACATAAACGAACCTCTTGAGTCAAGTACTTCTCGTTTGTTTTGCTTCTTTTCTCTCGTGTTCAGATCGCTGTGTAGTTCTAGCTTGAGAGTTACGAGAATAGCTTAGGAACCGAATATAGCGTTTAATTAACACGACTTATCATACGCTTATACATCGTGCAAATTATAGATGCAAAAGCAATGCATGGGATCTTACAGTGATTAGTAGAACAAAACAGAATTGTTAGTTGATAAATACATATCAACTATGTACTACCAACTCCAATTATTGTGTCAACTGTAATTGTCAGAATGATAATGAGAATAGATATAGATGTCATAGTGTAAGACAACCGATGGAAACCCAACTGGAAGCAAATAACTGTTGCGTCCCACTATAAAGCTACTCTATACTGAGCACCTAGACTTCATCCAAAAATCGAATTTAATGTCTTCAGGATTTCACAAACCGTTCAGACTAATCCAAATGCATTAGGCCGTTTCCATGTCATATTCAACGATATCAATTATTATTCAAATCAGTTGTTGCATAGTCATAATACAATCACGTCACACGCAAAATTAGTATGTATACCTACCAAGTTTCACGTCTTCAGCGAATGCATGTTTATTACTTTGACAAACGGCATTATTCTCCAAACCATTAGCGATATTCAAAAGACCAGCTCGAGATAGCACATATCCTCCACCACCGGACATATATCCTTGTTTAACAAATGGCTATTTTGCAAAGAAGAAGAATGTGAAGGAAATAGAAGAATATCATGGATTAAGGAGAGTGAAAGTAACAATTTAGACGCATTATTTGTAATAACAAGTATTTGAATCTCTCAAATTCTTATACAAATTAAGGTAACACTGGGAACTATTTGGATGCTCTCTGATAGTAGAACAACTTTTCTTAACCTGAAACTATGATCTTTAGAAATTCACTTGAATTATTGACAGTTCCTGTCATGAAACGATTTGATATTCCCCGCCCCCTCCCCAACTTCAATTATCATGAAGATATTCTGTTTACATTTATGAAATAATTCCTCACTTAAGTAATAATACGCTAGGTAAATAATCCGAGTAATCACAACATTCAGTTCTAATCATTGGTCAATCATATCCTATCTGTTAGGTAAATCAAAATCACTATAATCTTCGTTAATTATTGTGACCGAACACTGATGATTACTCCATTGATGAACGTGATATTTAACCGGAAATAGCCTTTTCGAACGGATATAACATAAGTGTCACTAAAATCACTTGGATCAGTACCAGGATGATGGAGTGTTTTTATCAAATACTAATTATTTTGTACATACCTAACCACACAATTCCGAATTCAATACAATTCAAGTGTGTAGACTGTGTTCTCTGTGTTCAGTCCCGATCCATTCATCACTATTATACCACACACAAGTTAGATCTGGGAACTTGGATTACATTCGGTACTAACAGTGTTGCTACTATTACTATCATTACAGAATAACCTAACAAACCTAAAGAGGAAATAACAAAAAGAGAGAAGACGAAAATCTTAGCAAAGTGAACTGCTTCAACTGCAATAAAAATCACGATGGACAGAGTGGCTGCCTTCTTCTTCATCATCAACAACATTAGGTGTCTGAGAAGCACCATGAGTTATCTTCACTTATACCTATGCATGTGGACAATTGTAGACACGGATTTGATTGAGAATATGTTGAAATCTTGAGGAGAGAAAATACAAACAAAACTAGAGTTTTGAGTAAATCGGAGCAGGTCAAACAGCAATCAGTAAGCATATGTGTGTTAATTCGAACATCCCATTTCCCTACGAATTTTGTCAAGATGCTGTCCAGAAAGACCACAAAATCTTCAATATTGAACTACCCATCTGGGAGAACGCTAACCCACCTAAATTTGTTTGACATTTTACTGATTTGGCCACCACAGTCACTTTAACATACTATCGGTTGATTGTATTATCTTATCATGCAAATAAATCTTCTTGTCAAAAATCAACTACTCCATAGATATGGAGATGCACAACTCACCTTGAATCGTCTGCCCATGATAAATGGTTTATCGGGATTTTCTTTATGTAAAATTTTGCGCAGATTCTCTACAATCACATATGAATCATCATCCGCCTTCATGAAGTAATCGTAATCATTGGCATAATGTTTTGCCATGTATTTTATGGCTCCAGCTGTTTTATTCCACAATAAGTTGCGACCTTCAGCATTGATAACAGCTACAATTTACGAATACATTGATATATTCGGTGGTGATTGGAGTAACTAAACAGACAGATTCAATGACAATCATAAATGACAATAACCAACACGGGGAGACGGAGTTCATATGGGAAGGAACTTTCACTAACCTCTGGTGAACTTGGACTGAATGATGATAGGATTTATCTTTTTCTTAAAATTCAAACTTGGCTTAGAAGCCAGGTAATTCAGCCAATTATATACATATATATTTCGGCTCAAGTTGCCACATCACATTGGCTCAAATGTTACGGAAAAACCAAGGGCAGTAGACGTAGTAACAGTATCAGTGGTAACAAAGAAAATTAAAAATCGAAGATACGATTCGGGAAGGAAATATGAAATTATCAAAATGATTGAAAACTTCATGTGGAATTTGGGAACTTTGAATATAAGAGAAGACGAAGAATGAATGCATCTGAGTAATTGAGAACAACTTTGAGCATTGTTACTCAAAGTCTCCAACCATTGTTTACGATGATCACGCGGATCTCAACCAGGTTGTATGCACCTAACTACATGGATTGGTTCAACATTCAATGCCTTTGTGGACTGATGCCACGTTTTGTTTATTATCCTCCCCTGACTTTTTCCCAAGCTACTAGTTGCACCAGCCATTATTACGCATCCAGTTAGTTGGTAGTTGGACATGCATAATGCATATCCCAACAATCTCAGTCGATAGATTCATTACCTCGTCAATCGACTTCCTATAGTTACCTGGTGCTGTGCGTTCAACCTCAGAATTGTCAAATCGATGGTACAAAAATATATGAGCAATGATTTGAAGACATTGATGATCAAGACCTCGTAACCCAAGAATATCATTTATTATAAAAGGTATGTTTCTCACCCATCAAGTAGATCGGAACGAAGTGTCGAGCAGTTGACAGACGTATATCTTGTGTGCGCCACAAGTGAAGCAAGTTGGTAAACGCCAACCGGCCTCTCTCCATCCGTGTCGAGATTCCGTCAAACACTAACCCACTAGTGTTGATGAGACTTTCAAATGAAGTGAAGTGAAGTGGTCGACACAATCCACTATTTCACTCGCTATCGTCAAACTCAAGGTTGGCAGAAACCAGTCCTTAAGCAATATTTTGCGTTACGATGAAGTGATACGCATCACAAACACGCTCGCACTGTTGATTGATTAAGGAGGTCAAGAGACCCTGAGTGTTGTCAAGGTATTCACCAAATAAAAATATTTCCTCTAAGTATTCCGAGTCAACAAATGAATCTTCTGGTAGATCAATTTATCATAATTCACACGATGATATTATTATTATTATTATTATTATTATTATCTCAAGAAGAACGTCTACCAATAAGTTAAATGGAAATGGAGAAAGTGGACAACCTTGAAGAACACTACTTGGAGTCATCGATTCTCATTCTCTTTCGAAGCACCATGAAAATGTAGTTTTATTGCACATTCTGCACCAAAATAGAAAAATCATTCATTTTCGACATTTCTACAAATTACAAACTGGTTATCTTTATTCTGATTGCATTATCCTTACACTATACTTTAACATCAGATATATCTATTATGAAATCCCACACAAAAGCTCTTCCTGATGCCTAATTAACGTTTTGTTCAGTGAATATATTTTTATCTGCATCAGTGTTTTTATAGTTGAGTCCAGTCTTTGTTTGTATACAGTTGTCAAAATAGTACATTACATGCATAGCTACTTGAAAAATTCACTTGTGTCAAGATCTGTATAAGTCTCATGTAAATCGAAACACATTGGTAGTGTCGATTAAAATGTTTAATTTTTTTTTGTAACTGAAAACAATACGACAATATTCATTCGTCCAATGAGCTTCGAACAATATTATCTGAGTACTCTCAGTGTACATACACACAGTGTATATTATGATGTCTAAGATAAATTATTATTTTAAGATAACACTAATGTAATGTTTCTCGTAAAGTCAGTTATATATTGCACAACAATCTTTTCCACGTAACACTATATATCCTGTACACTTATTTTCATCTCTGCCCAATATAATGAGATATTGTGATCAGGATAGTTGGTCATATTTTTACTGAGACAGTAACTGATCAATGGAGTTGTACAAAGATCGTATCATACCATAAACGCGACCAAATCAAATTAATCAAATGCTTGACACAAAGCATCTGGGTTTCATCTTTCACCAACAATGTATCCACGATATAATTTGATCTGGATAAAGGGTTATATATAGTAGAACACTGATTACTACTGCGGTGTGTGCTACTTATATTGACATAAGTTAGTAGTGTACATGTTAGTCGTGAACAGAATGTCTGGCAGCAGAGAGACAAGAGGATCGAGCAGTAAAGAATGGAAACAGAATGCAATTTGTATCAAAATGCAAGGACAATGAAGTCTGAGTCATTTTGAGACAATCGGTGGATATTTTGTAAATAAAGCATTTACTTTATGATTGCTAGATTTTATTAAAAAGTCCTGTAATCATGTGTTGAATACATTAAATTGTCTCCACTGGCGTTCTTGTTCACTACACTAATACTACTACTACTACTACTACTACATAATATCCGATCAGCGTAATCCACCTACTTTACAAAGCACTGTTGAGGAGTCCCACAATACGACGGGACGGCTGTTCCGTGCTTTCAGGTTTCCCATAGTAGTCTAGCTTCAATCGATTCATGCTCTCAACTATTGAGAGTTCTTCTAATTTTGTAAGATGGTGCAAATTCTTATTGCCTTCAAATAGTTTTATCATAATTCATTAATCTATAGCTATTCCGTGATGAAAATTTTCTTTTCGACGACATCATTTACTTATGCTGTACATTCATACTCATAGATATATGGAAAACATGTCTATAGAAGGACAGAACATAGACATATATTCTCCACATATCTATGAATACGAATGTATAGTCTAAGTAAATGATTTCAACGAAAAGAAAACTTCCATTGCTAAATTCAATGACATAATGGGTTATTTTAATTACCATAACTACTTGTTATTTCAATTTATGCTTGTAAACATGTGTTTGTATAAATCATATGGAAAAACAATATCAAGTGAATTTAAACTTCACCCCATTGCACAAGCAAGTGGCTATCAGAACTCAGTAGCTGAGTAGATGACGCGATGGAGTTTGAAGCGAACGGTACTGGGTTCGAGTCCCAGAGTGAATGAACTTCAACTCAGATGCAGGTATATACAAGCAACGGATCCTAAATAGGACGAAACGCGCGTCAAACTGGATTCCACTTCTGGCCACTATCTATCTTTGCTTAGAATGCTTGTGAATTAAGGCAATATCAAGGCAATACAAACAGTATGCACATGCGCCAATAACAGACTGATCAATTGCAGTGCTAAGCATCAATAAGAAGATTCAAGTAAAAACAATACCAAGTGAATTTATTCATATTGAAAGATCTATTATCAGAATAAATATGGGTCAGATAGTGTGAGAGAAATCATAGTGCAATTACAATTCGATCAAATGTTTAGCGAAAGACTACATTGTGTAAAAAATTATTAGTAAGGATGAACGTGAAGTAAATGAATCGTGTATTGGGGAGATGAATAATGATCTTTAGCCAATAGTAGTAGTAATAATAATAACAACAGTAATTTCCACTTAACATACAAGCAGATTCAAGTCAACATTCCATATGAGTCATAAAAACATGAACAATTTTATTCTATTTTGTTTGACAATCCTACAGTTCACATGCTTTTACTTTAAACGATGCACTTTACCCTTGACCTGAATATTTTTCGGATTAATAATTTGAATATATGGATTGTAGAACCTGAAGAGAATCTATCGAAAACAATATTCTTCGTTCATAGATTAGTCTTCTTAACATGATGGGGATCTTTAGACAATAAATATGTTTGTATACTTTGATCTCATTTACAATAAAAAACAACGATTATAGGCTAAAATCATTGATTCAAGAGGACAGGCAAACACTAGAGATTGAACGTTCTTACCAGGGTTTGTAAATGGTATGTTGTGTTCTCCAAAGTGCAATAAAACGTCATGGTGGAATTTAAAAATTGTAATCTTTCCGTATTTAGTTTACAGCTTAAAGTAAACACTCCTTTCTCAAATACCTAGATGAGTAGACATATAAGACATTTAGGAATGGAACCAAATGTCCCTGTATTTTCTAATGAATACAGTATTCTCAGAAGCTTCAATTTAAACACGAGTCTAATTATGAGGTAATATAGTGTATTCAATGCTCTCAGAGTAAATAGTAGAACCTTAAATGTTACACAAGATTTAACGTGGGTTTCTACTGATCTAGTCATTAATCATTTTCGTTCTAAATTGGATTAGTGTCGATAATGTGTTACACATTAATTACTACGGTTTGACTTGACAATCAATGCTGGCTGGTGCAGGAGGAGGTTGCATAAAATAAGGGGTGGAAAGACCGGGACGAGGATTCAATCACGGAAGTCAGTGAATGTTGATATGAGTCACATTAGTAAGTCCAATTTACCGGCTTAGTGTTCCTGGGATAATCATTTACAACATTTGGAGACGTTGAGTGGTATGACTCGGAATCTGATGCATTAAGACAGACGTATGCATTTTAATAATATTTCCTTAGATTTTGAATTCCAATACTTCTCCATAATTTTCATTGCACCAAATAATCCCCTTTTGGAGATTATTTTCTTGATGCTTACTATCACTGATATTACTATCGTTTCGACTGTTTCGTTATCTAGTCTGGTCATATAGGTCACAAAAACATGAAACAGTAATAACAATAATAATAATAATAATAATAATAATAATAACGATTCTGACAACTGGACAATCAGTGACTTACCTATTGAAGGAAGATGCGAATCAGTTTCACTACTAATGAATAAATAGTTATTACATCGACCAGCCCACGTAGCTTTCACATGAACAGCTTTTGATTTATGATTCGCTGGCATTGTTAGTATCCAACAGAACACACGTACTTGTTTAGCCAATACGTTAGCCAATGTTGCCTCGGCTACAGGTAGGAAGGAAAGTATACAAGAATAGAAACAATGTAGATTCGTCTAATTCTTCCTCTAAGACGAGGAAAATTAATTTGACATTCGAGACTGCGAACTGCCACCGTTTGTCTGAATAAAGTAAGTCAATTCGCATAAACAGAGAAATTGACTGACTGACTGACTGACTGACTGACTGAGTAGTCAAGAAACTGAACTAAAACAATGAGAACAATTAAAACAATGTTCACTGAATTTTCAGTAGGGAGAAAATGCAGTTAATGCATCTGTATCACATGAGCTGACATATACTCCTTAGTAAGAGTCTTGAATCTACAAATCTCGTGTTATACTGACCACATTTCGAAGGTACCCGTTCACTTACACAACTTATGAAAAGAGTTAGTTACTTCACAGATCAACAAAAGTTCAACATAGTGAAACAGATGTTGTGCATTGATTCATACTCAATAGCAACACACCTAGTGAATTGGAAATCCGAAAAGAACTTAAATGTATAGACGAGACAAGACATCCTCCCGGAATACTCTACTTGAATTTTTATCAGAATGGAGACGACATATTTGTGACCCGATTGGCCAAGCTGAAACGAAGAGAAGAAATAATGAAAATTTTAAACATGTCTCTACCTCTAAGACTCAGTGTTTGAACAGCTCATCATCAGAAGTTAGGTGGTACAGTTGTACCACCACAATAAACATGACATAGACCTCCAAATCCTAGCTGTCAGAAAAGTAAAAACGTATATCGAAAAAATGAAAACTAAACCAAATCTAAGGAAACAATTTGAAGCTCATCATATTTTCGAAGATATGCTGGAAATACTGGATCTAGATGAGGGTGAATTATTGAAAATTTCAACAGTATGGAGAATGACACAAGCTAACTTGTTTCAAATGAGGTCCATTCCACTCTATGAGCTATCGATTAGATATCCCACTTTTTGGGATTTTACTTATATTGTACATGGATCATTTTCCGAAGTTCTTAAATTCGAACTACTCTGTCGGTACTGTCATTTCTTCTGTGTCATCTGCCATATCATTTGATTATGAAACTGTTTCATTACAAGTAATAAATATCATCAATCCTGGAAAACCGAAATTTCTCAAACATTTCTAATCCATTAATTCATAAATCAACACACTCTCTAGATGTAACCACAACATTGCAACTCATCACAGAGTAAGGCAGTCAATTTGTTCTTCTTCTCCATGAATATTTGCAAAACCATCAGCTAGCACATGTATTCAGCCAAAGGTTCCACACCCACCCAAAACATTTCTCACTTGATTAACTCATCAAAATTTTCACGGTGCGCTCACGAAATTTGTGTTGAACAAGATCCACTAGTTCGAATTCTCTATCTTCCACGTCTATAAATCAATGCCATCACTAAAATCATTCCTGTATAGATTCCATGTCGTATTTCGGTTAATGTCAATTCCAATAAACCTCATCACACTGTACTAACATGTGTAGTTAGCAAGCATGTTTCGGTTCCATTTGAAGACACACGCCATCACATCATAAATATTCCTCAAAATATTGGTGATCACTAAATACTATATTCCAACTTCATGAATAAACAATGGGACATTTATTATGAAATTGATTGATTCTGAACTCCATTCTGTTTACATTTTATTTGAGATAACACTAATGAGGATAATAGATAACCGTGTACTCTGTGTTAGCCAATCACTCTCATTGGCTAATATTTATTCACAGGAAATAGCTATGAAATCTTGTAGACACCACAATGTTCAATTTTCATATTTGAATAGACAGAACACAAGATATGACAGCACTACCTGTGAGAAATGCACCCAGTTTCGTATTCCTGCTATTTTCACACCGTACATTCAACTCAGTTATAGAGAAACGACTGACTACATTATGGTGAAAGTACGTAAATTATGATGATCAGTCTACAGATAATCCAACTGCTTTCATTTCTAAACCAGTGAAATGTCTTCAACTGTGAATGGGAAGTTAGTAAATAAATAACAATGGCTGATCGTAATCACGATAATCTCTCTTGTTTCTTTGATACCAATGTCATTTTTATGCTGTATTCGTTCGCTGATTAAGAAATAGGTTAAGTGAATTCCTGAGGTTTCCGGTGAAACATAGGAAAGATTTTGAGGAAATTGTTGAGACGTGGAGGGTTCTTTATGGAGCTAAAACTGAAAGGAACAAATTGTTTCCAATAGATGAAAGACCTCAGTGAGGGCTGTCAATACTAAAACGATGATGAGAGCTTAACACTTTCATCGAATACCTATGTTGATAAAATTCACAAAAGTGTGTATTGTTTCCAGCTTTTACGTTTCCAATTCACTTTCTGGATGAATTATGTGAGTATGAGTTTGAGAAAGTTCTCTATTTATTTGCTCCAACAAAGTCACTTAGGATAGATAGAGTAAAATGTGAAACGATGAGACAACTGAAGGGTCTGAATTCAGAGAGGTGCATAAATGTTTTCAACAGTGGAAAGTAATACAGGCCAAATGCGTTTCTACAAATGGGAACTATCTCGAAAATGGATAAGATTGATGTACAACAAACCATCCACTCAACTCGCCTACTTACTTAGTAAAGACACTGGTGACTGAAAAAAATGATTCACATTTATAACGACTCAATTCGTTAATATTTAGCTAGAATTCGGAAACTACAGTCTGAATCATAGATGGATATTTCGAGTATTGCTTCAACTGAAAGCAATTTTTAGAATAATCATTGAAACCATTAATAACAACTGTGGTTTTCCACTTCAAATCAAAACCAATACACTTACCTAAATGTTGTAATGCATGTTCGTGTATTGAATCGTTCGAAAGAACTGTAATTTTCAGGGGAACACGATAAAGAAATCGATAGTCATTTTAAGTTAAATCTAACCTACTCAACTGTTTATATGTATTATCGTTTGCTGTCAATTTCGGTGACTTGGCTGCAGACAGTGCTGCTGTATACAAATCCTCTTCATGTTGTACATAGTAGAGGTGGACAATTAGTCCTCCACCAAACATACCGATCGTGTATATAAGAAGCATACGAAAGAATGGTGATAATTGCATAAAGACTCGAAATTCCTAAGATCAAAATGAGAGAGCGTTAGTACCAATTAACAGAATTTACTTTTGAATACAATTCCAATCAGAGAATTGTTATGGAAGCATCATAATCATATCACTGTTTCATCTGATGTAACAAATAAGTGGTAAACTTTATTCGTGTTTATGTTTGTATGCCTGAATACTATGTGGTTCAGTAAATTCCTAAACGTCCTTTCCAATGTCATACTTGTTTACTACAATACCATTTAATTGGATCCATTCGACTTTGGTGAATAGAGGAGTTTGATTTTGTGTATTTTCCATGGGGAATTTACTACAACGATTTCACCGTTATTGTGTAGACGTATGAGGATTAATAGACCAAATTCAGAACAGAATGTGTCCACATATATACATTTGATTGCAACATTGATTGATATCAATATGAATCTCTGAGTTAGTATAAATTTTTGCCGAAATCGTGTTCACATATAATTGACGATTGTTAGTCAACTTCAACATTCGGTTCAAATTGAATCTCTCGACTCCAAGTTGGATAAGTAGCAATTAGGAATAGAATGTTCGTTTCATCACTATCTAACTTGTGTAAAGCGGACGTTTTTGATACACGGCACAGAAATTATCATAAATCACTAATAATTATCTATGGACATGTTACAGAACCCTTTGACCTCTGCCTTTCTCCAAATGCATCTCGTCAACAAATTTCAATAATAATATCTAATAGACCAGATGATTTTAACACCATTCTTGAAGCGTAGGATCGAGATGTAGTTTGGCAATTCCCAAACGAATGCAAAACCTTTTTCTAATGCTTTCTGAATTATCTATGTTTCACCTCACTGATGTCATATCGTGACGTAAACCAAGTTGAAACTAAACATATTGACATAATGAACTCATTTAAGTAATCATTATGTCTCCATCAATGATTAGTTTCAAATGGATTCCATATATCCTATACAATCTCTATTGTGTGGGGTCGTGATCGTTCAGTTGTGCTGTATATATATATAATTTAACTATTGTAAAAAATACAACTGAAATAATCACTTAGTCAATAAAATAGGGATCATCGAAGTAAATTGTATTTAAAATTCCGAATGAATGATTAGCTGGGGATTTTAGTTTGGTTTTTTATAAACCAATGGTCTGATGTATCTACTTCCTCTTCAATAAACGGCTTCCCTAACTTTCAAATTTCTAATCATGACTTGATTCGTCCCATGTTCAATCGAATTATGATTAACATGAGTTAAGAGATACACAGTTTATTCAGTGGTGATTATCAGATTGGATAATTCAAGTATTTGTATTAATCAGGCAAATTGAATGTAGTAGAAAAAAAAGCACAACTACTAAATACGCAATAGATAAAATGAACTGATATCCTCATGGAGACGTTGTAAAAGATACATCTTTTTACGACCCATATCTTGAAAAAGAATACAGACTGAATACCACAGATTAAGCAAAGTGAGGGATTAGTCTTTGAGTTACTAATGTTTACCAAGGTACTGGATAGTTTTATATCCAAAATGAATGTAGGTATCTCAAAAAAAGTGTATGATAAGTTTACTATGAAAAGATAATTAAAACATTCAGCAGACTATATTTTCAATTTCATTGTTTCTTCTGTCAAGCGTTCTTTAATGGTTGCTCATTTGTATAGGAGGAAGTTAGCTTGTGACTAAAGTCTACTAAATAAGGTCTCAATCATGTTTAATCTTTGGACGCCCTATACTTTTGCACAATAATTCACTAGTTAGTAGCAACCGTTGTCATGTCGATTCGTTGGTGTTAATTAAATTCCATTCAACACATTTCAAGAGCGAAAATAGGGATAAAACATACTTTCCAGTAGGTCCATAAATTCCTTAGTTTGATTCTCGGAATATCAGTTATAGTTTTAGATTACTCGGTAAAAAGGCGGAGAGAGTATCATTTATGGACAAACCAATCAGGTATAAGATAACGAATCACGAGTTTTGGCGCGAAATTCATGCATTCTTTTGGCTAAATAGAGTTTATGTCAGTTCGTGATGAAAACTTTAGATCTAATTTTCAACCCTAACCATCAACTGTAAATGTTAATTCTACTGCTTTATAATCTTCATTTCGTACTGATCAGTAGGTGTCCACCTTCTAGGTCACTTCATCGTCACTCAAAGGTTGTCCATAAATTATAGTCTCATCAAAGAAAACCACTGAGCTATTCAAATTGTATGTATCGAAACGAATTCCTAAAAAATTCACACTGCTATTGGTATGAGTCAAATGATGACAACAAAGAGTATGTTCTTTTTGATATTATGGAAATCGGATACGGTATTACTTAATTCAGTCTTATTAATCGGGACAACTCGTAAGCATGGTCCATAGCATTCAATCTGCACTAATAAGGACTTGACACATGATATTGATCACCACCCAGTGATCAATCAATTGTGATTACATCTCAGTCCTACAGGAGTTCGGTCCCGGCCCGGATAGCTGAGTAGTAACGTTATCGACTGTGAAGCTAGGTGACACGGGATCGAATCCGTCAGGGAGTACCAGTTCTCCCAAGACAACAGGTACACCTTGTTGACGAGTGCCAAATAGCACGAAAATCGAGTCCAGGCTTTCCTGTTGACTACCTCCAACCACCATCTAATCACAACTCGTAAGTATAATTATTAATTTGAAAGTATAATTCCATAAATAATTGAGACATTAATGTCAATGATACCAATGATACAACATTTCATACATAAAGATTATGATTGTATTTTACAACAAGGCACTAACAAAAACAACTAACTTGTATGAAACAATATGAATCGTTAAAACTCCTTTCATCTAAATGGGTAAAATTATTGTCTTATTTCTTTCCACTCTACCTATCACTTCTTGTTTAACCAATTAAAATAGAGTTTAACAATTTACATTGTGATTGGTTTATTTTACTTAAATTCGATCGTAAATGGAGAAGATTTATTGGTTGAAAATGAAAATATTGACCAGTTATTAGTATTAAATACACACATATAAAAATCGAAAAAATATTAAGACCAAGCAAGGTTGGATCAATAATTTGAGTGGTAACAATCGATTACTTCATTTTCAATCTGTTGCTTATGCTCAATTGTGTTATTGAACATCTAACTATCACCATTGGATGCCGGCTCAGTGGTCCAGTTGGTTAAGCGTTCGCGCGCGAGACCGAAGGCCCTGGGTTCGAATCCCGCTCGCGGGATCGTGGATGCGCACTGCTGAGGAGTCCCACAATAGGACGAAACGGCCGTCCAGTGCTTCCAGGTTTTCAATTGTGATGGTCTAACATTAATCGGTTCATGATCTCAATCAAAATTTTTTTGTTTATTCATTAAAAGAAGATCACTTTGAAATATATCACATAAATATGATAGTGGACATTTATATTATTTCGATAATACAAGACGAAGAAGACACAGTTTATTAGAATTATGTAATGATATCTTTGCACAATTTGACTGCACACACACACACACATGGTATACTTGTTAAGACATTTTGATATGAAAACTAAAAGGTCAATTAGATAAATGAAAAGTAAACCGTAATAAAGAAATAATAATAATAAAGTACACAAAAACAACATGATAACTATACTAGATAATAAATCAGTATTACCAGGGTAGGTTAAGTGTAAAGACAAATCGTTTTTGTACGTATAAAGGGGATAATCGAAATAATTTCGAGTGATTTGTCTTATACGTCCATCATTTCCCAACAGAGTTCTTTCCTGTTTCTTACATATAGCTGAAGCTAAAGGATTTCGTACATTTAACCCCAATTTATGTGTACAGAAGAAATTCGTGACCCCTTATCTCTTCTATGGCCGAATATAACTTAACAAGTGACTTTTTAAAATTTAATTTATGTTACCATTAGCATTATTTTCACAACTGGTATTTACTTGTAACTTTCCACGTCTTTCCGTTTGTATTCTTCACTATCTAATTATCTATACACTTATTACGTAATGATCTTAATGTTTTGTGATGATTATTTTAAGTTTCCATACAGCCAAGGCTTCAACAAACCTTAGTATACGTCATTTTGAAGGCTTTTGTACAACACTGCGAAATTCTGACTTGATGTCAACCTTATGACTAGTCTCAATCAAATGTTTCACAATGGAGGATTATATCTATCTATCCTATGATCTGATTTGACCATTGGAAGTATATATATGTAATCAGATTGTTTGAAATGTATTGCGCAATTATATCACATAATTCTGATAAACTTTGTGTTCTCATTGCATTATCGAAATTCATCAAAGGGACTAATTAATTGTTTCAAATTTCTGAAAAGAAGACTCCCTACACAGATTATTAAAAGGTTAGATGAACTTGTTAACCTTATGAACATATATATATATATATATATATATATATATATATATATATATATATATATACTTGATGGGGGTACATACATTCCTTCTCAAGGTAGGTAGAAACGCCACAAAGTATCACGTTTTTGTTACCTTTACAATATTAACATCATACACATAAGGAAACCTGAACTATGGGTTCAAAATGACTTTTTCAACACCTTTTTTTTCTAAATTGTGATTCACAGTTTTCACAAACTATCTCTCTCTCTATTGTCCTAGAACTTATCATTCTACTTTTCGAGGCATTTTTTAAAAATTGCATCGTATGATGAGATTCCTTAACAAAATTATTCACTTTTGGCTGGTTTATATGGTCTTCCCTATTGATTTTTCACATGTTAACAATTTCGTGTTGACTCACAAAATAAGAAAGATGGAATTGTGTACTTTGGTTTGTTTTGTTTGTATATGACTGTGATTATTTATTGTTATAAAATACACATACTGTGAGTTGTTATTTATAATGTATACGATATATACCATGGGGCTTCGAGAATGAGTTTTACAAAAAAATTCTCTTCATTGAATCACTCACTCTCGGTTCCAAAGA